GGGCGCGGCGGCCGCGGGCCGAGGCGGAGAAGACGCTGTGGAAGGTGAGGCGCCGGCGCCGGCCGCCACTGCGGCACTTGGGGTCGGGCGCGGCCGCGTGTAGGGATGTAGAGCGCGGCGACTCGGAGTCCTTCTCAGAGCCCATGGCCGGCAGAGGCCGAGGAGCCAGGGGCGCCCAGCGCCACCACAGCTCCCGCCTCAGCGCCCCTCAGCCGGAACCCCGGCCGCCGCCGCCGCCGCCCTTCGGGAGTTAGAAACAGAATCGCGGCGACGAAGTGGTTATAAAGCCTCCGCCCCGCGCGCCGCTGCACACTGCGCAGGCGCCTGCCCAGACACCTCACAACCCTCTCCGCCAGGCGGAGGTGGGCGTTGAGCGGGATGGGACTCGACGAGCTGGACGGAGCTCCGCCTCCTGCCGGTCCCGTGGCTCCAGGGCAGCCATGTTGTAGAGACTGTGAGCGATCGTAACCCTACTGGTTTTCTTGGGATCCGTCCCCGATTCCATATCCCCGGTTCCCAGCATCCCCAAGGTGGACCTTTCGGTTTGCTGTTCCTCATTGGCTGATTGTCACTTCCAGTAAATGTGCTTCAGTTACTTTATCAGTAAAAAGCAGACAAGGGTTGATCAGATGGTGATTCCCAACTGGTCTACCTTCCAACGTTTCTGTTGTTTATTAAACAGCATTAATAAAGAATATGGTCATTCATTGGGCATCCACAAATTGCAAGGCATTACTAGAGAAAACAGACAGGGTCCCCTATCTGCAAGGGATTTACAGAATAAAACCCAAATTTCTTAATCTAGCATTCAATGCTGTGTGTGAGCTGATAAACTGTATTCCTAGGTCCATCTCCCATTCTGACCTCCCAGTAGCTTGGTTACTTACCAAACTTGTCAGAGGAGGCCCAGCATTTTCTTGCCTGGAAGTGCCCTTCTTCTGCAAATTCCCTGCTGGTCTCTGACTGAGGGAGGGTCTGGACCCTTAGACTTCCTAAATGGGAGTTAGGCAAACAGCTTCAACAGCAATGGGAATGCATCAGGTAGGATTAAATTTCGTTGCAGATATCAAAACAACAAAATAAATGGCTTACTATAGAAATTTATCTCTTTCCGTGAAATATAAATCTGAAGGTAGGCAGTTTAGGGCTGCTTAGCTATCCTCAGCATTTGGCTTCCAATCTTAAGATCATCTCGTTGTGGTTCACATTCCAAACAGTAAGAAGGAAAAAGGGGAGAAAAGTCATCCTCTTCCTTTTAAGAAGACTACCTTGGAAGTTTTGCACATTTTTGCTTAAATCTCATTGACGAAAAGTCACATGGCCAGACTTAGCTGCAAGGGAGCCTGGGAAATGGAGTCTTTTAACTAGGTACAATGTGCCCAGCTAAAAATGGGAGCTCCATTATTAATAAAGAATGGCTGAAGGAATACTGGAAGGTGATGGAAAGAGCTGTCTTTTTCATGGGTGGTATCTAAAACCAGGTCCTCAGAACTTCAAACTTTTATGGTAAAACAGTGGAAAAGGAGCCAACAAAGGAAACTGAGAAGCAGGGACTGGTGACACAGGAGAAGAACCAAGCAGGTGTGATGTCACAGACACCAAAATAAAATGTTTCCAGGAGGGAGTCAATTGTGACAAATGCTGCTGAGAAATCAGGAAAGATAAGAACAGAGAAGTGACCACTGGATTTAGCAATACCAAAGAATCTTATAAGGAAAGGGAGGGTTTATCCTCAAGTAGGAGAGAGTTTTGATTCTAGATGGCTAAAACAACAATGTCTGTATGTTAGTTGGAATAGGCTAGGCTCTGCTGTGGCAATAAACAAACCAAATATCTGAATGGCTTCACACAACAATGGTATATTTTCCCCACTCATGCAAAGCCTGTTATGGGTCAAGGCACTCTCCAGGGTAGATCTCCTCCACACCACTGGGTAATTCAGAGATCCAGTATGCTTCTATCCTGGACTCTGTCATCTGAACACAAGGTTTTTAGGATTGCCTCGATAGGAGAAGGAGCTGGAGCGTTGTGCACTAGCAATTAAATACTTCAGCTTTGATGACACACATTACTTCCACTCACAGACCATCAGCCAGAACTTGTCACACAGGTCTAATCTAACTGCAAGAGAGACAGATATAGGAGTAAATCAGAGGCTATTTAGTGAGCAGTATTATCTCTGCCACAGTTCTCTATAGTCATTTTCAACTCTGATCTCAGTGCCCAATGTCCTGATCAACTGCAGATTGATTCCCTTAGAGGAAGTGTGTGCCTGTGGTGGGAATGGAGGGTGGGAGAGAGGGCTGCCTTGTTCCTCAGATTGTGCTAAAGGAGACGGGGACCTCTGATTCCAAGCAGACCCACATGCCTTTTAGATGCTTCCTCCTGTGCAGCTAGCTGACAGAAATAGCTGTCAGAATCCTAGCTTGCTGAAAAGCTTAACACACCAAGTGTTTGCTTGTCTTGGCACTGGCACCCAAACAAACTCTGCCTTAGCTCAAAGCTGCCACCATCAGTGCTTTGGTGGAAAACTGACCTCTCATAAATGCCACTGGACTGGGCAACAGTCCCATTTCTATTGAGTTTCCTGCCCTCTTGAATCCATCACCCTTGAATGAAGGGACTAAAACAATTCCTCCCACTTTTTCTTCTGTGTTTCTCCTTGATAGAAACTGAGTGTGACTCAGAGAGATGGCATGAGAGAGAAAAGGATTCTCATCTATTCACTCATTCGGTAAACATTATTATACTTTGCACCAGGCCCTTTTCCAGGCACTAGGGTCATGGAGATGAAAAACACAGTCTGATGGGGATTACAGATAAGAAAGCAGATCATTGGGATACTAGGTGACAAGGGCATGTATGAAAAACTGTGACAGGCCAATAGAAGGCATGACAAGCTCAGGGATGGCTTTCCTGAGGAAGAGCCCTTTGAGCTGGGTCTCAAAGGACAAGTAAGAGTTTAAAAGCTTGTGAGAAGGGGAAACTGAGGAAGCTGGGAGGAAAGGCATAGGGGGTACAAATGCAGGATCAGTCTGAGGAAGTGTGAGCAGCTGGGTGTGATAGGAGTGGAGAATGTTTAAAAGGAGATGAGAGAGAAGTGAGAATGGAGAGGTTCTGTGTTATGGCTCCATTGGATGCAAGGAACAGAAGCCAAATATGAACAAGCCATGGCCAAAAGAGTAATTTTTGGCTCATGTGACCCTTTGAGCCTCTTGTAATATAGCAGCTGGGCCAAAGGATCAACTATGTCCAGGGACCCCTCCACCCCCAGCTCCCACACACCATCATTCATCTTTTCTCCTCTGCATGTCAGCTTCTTCTGCTTCTCCTTCTTTTTTATTTTGGTAAAATGTACATAACATAAATTTAACCAATTTAGCTGTACAATTCAGTGACCTTAAGTACCTTCACATTGCTGTGCAGCATCGCCATCCAATCTCCGGAACTTTTTCATCTTCCCAAACTGGAACTCTTTGTCCATTAAACACTAACTGCCCCTTCTCCCCACTTCGTTTTTTTTAGGCCACTTTCTTCTCCAAGCTGGAACCGTGCCCAACAGTAATCTCCAGCTTATGCCTCCTAGCTTCCTCACCAGAGAGATGAGTAATTCTCTTCCCTTTGTTTCAAATACCCAAAATCTTACAGAAGGACTGTCATTGACTAGGCTTGGCTACATGCTCACTCACACTCATGGTCATGGGAATGGGATGCCATGATTGATAGTACCCACCTGGACCATATGGCTGGACCAGAGGGAGAAGCAATTCTCGAAAAGGAAGGGGTTTTCACTAGAAGGGACGGGCCAAACATGAGCAGATAAAATAAGAAATGTTCACCAAAGATAGGTTGGGGCCAGGCTGCCAAGAGCCTTGAATGCCAGCTGAGGAGCTCAGCTTTTATTCTGTTAGGTAATAGGACATTGTGGGAACATTTTGATCAAAGAGAGCCATACATACAAGGAAGGTGGCCTACAAAACCTGATCTTTCCTCACTTGAGGCTCTACTTTTGAGCTTTCTCTTGCCCTTCAAGGCTGTTCTGAAAGCTAATTTTAATCAGATGTCACCTGAATACTGGGCCCTAGTGCTTGCTTTGGCTGCACATATACTTACTGGGCCCCAAATCTTTCCTCTGGCCTCAGGAGTGATCTCTACTTGTTGTGATCCCCACCTTTTCTGTCTGGATCAGGAGTGATGAATGCTTCTGGGCCTAGTCAGACTGTTCTGGGTCATCTCCTATCTCCTGAGTCTCCTGGCCCTTCTTCTCCCCAACTGCCTCCATCCACTGGGAAGTCCTCCTGCCTCTGACCTTACCTCCAACTCAACATCCAAGTCCTATCTTTTTTTTATTAAGGCTAGAACTGCATGCCAACAAGTCCTA